ATGATTGGACTAATAAAGACGATGAGGTTATTGCTGAAGGTGTTGTGTGCTCATCTAACTCCAAAGAGAAGGTTAACAATATACCTCTAGGTCCAAGTGCTGTTTGTATTGAAGTTGTGAAGGTGTTCAATGATAATGCTCATTTGTGGAGGCCAACTACTGATAGTAGTTTAATTGGTGATGCAATTAACGAGAAAATCGCATGGCCAGTCCTAAAGATTGACGTCACGGCTGCAACCACTACAGATGCAACACTACCTAAAGCCCAGGTATGTTACTGAAATTAAGTTATATCATTTTTGCACCTTTGATTGATGTTGGAACTTTCATTGATGTTGAAACTTGCTTCTATTATTTTCTTTGAGTTGTAGAGTCCATGCAGCAATAGTTCCACCAAAAGTCCAAAGCAGAAGTGTTTTCTTTTAGATTGCAGCAACTCTGGCCGTAAGGTAGCTGAAGGAAGAGTAGTTTCAACAGATCCGAACGACTTGTGCCATCATGTACCTCTAGGTCCAAATGCAAGCAAGGTCTGGGTTGAAGTGGCTAAGATTGGTAATGCAAAGGTTTGGAGGCCAAATTCAGAGATTGAATAAATTTCTGATGCCATAGGTTCAATTGTAGCATGGCCAAATGATAAAATAAAGTTTGTGTGAAATTTAGACAATTGTCGGTATTGCTGAAACGGTTATTGTGTTTTGGTATTGTAATGAAGTTTTATTCTGGTTAATGATAAAACTTGGTATTGTTTGTCTAATTTCTCTCAAATGCTCATAATTATCAATGTTGCTAATTGTTGGAATTTGATTTTGAAAGATGGACATCAATTTAGAGTTTCGAGATTAATTGTGAAATCATGGCTAATTAAACTGGTGCTGGAAATTTGTATTGTTGTGCCTAAACCCTAAACCTCAAACATTGTAGTTAAAACTCTAAACCTCAAACAGAAAGTTAAAACTCTAAACCTCAAACCGAAAGTTAAAACTCTAAACCTCAAACAGAAAGTTAAAATTCTAAATCCTTAAGTATAAAACATAAACACTAAAGTAAAAAAAAAATATAAACCCCAAAGTTTAAACCCTATACCCTAAACTAAGCCTTAGTGTTTATGAACATATAACTTAGATAGTTGGTATACTAACTTATATTAATTTTTTTTAATTTTAAAATTTTATATTTATAAGAAATAATATTCTAAAATTGAAATAGTTATATTGATAATTTAAAAAAAAAAATTATATTTTTTCATTAATAACATATTTTATATACTAATTTTCTGATTTTAAACGAAAAAACAACTATTAGCCAATGAGAAGTAACCTCCAAGATTGCAATATAGGCGAAATCTACACCGTTGATCTGTCTCGCTAATTTGATCTGATCATTGTTCTAAGCCAATGGTGACTAACCTCCGAGATTGCAAGGTCATTGAACCTAGACCGTTTGATTCGTTTCACTAATTTTGATCCGAGCCGTTCATTTTTGTTATGTGATTTCGCGGTGAAAAGAACATATAAAAATTTCAGAACACAACTCATCTTTAGGGTTTACCAAAAATTCCCCCAAATTGATTTGAGTTCAGCAAATCGTTTCAGAACGGATCCATCTCCATCGTTACCAAATGGATAAGACGTGGATTTCGCTGCCAAGGGATACACTAAATTCTATGGAGCTTACTTATATTAATCGATTGAAAGAAATCTAAATTATTTTCCAATTTACAATGTAGGAATAGTATCGAGTACTTAGAAGGAGCAACGAAATTCGCCAATTCATCAGCAAGAAGATTGGGCAATCTGTCTGAAATGCTATGCCCATGTAGAGATTGCCGCAATTTATGCCATCAGTCGGTAGAGGAAATTGTTGAGCATCTAGTGATAAGGGGTATGGATAAGAAGTATAAGACTTCTTGTTGGAGTATTCATGGTGAAAAAAGAGCATCTACAGAAGACAGTGGTCGTCGACATGAAACAGAGGCATTTGAGTTGTTTAAGACAGCATTCTCTATGAATGAAGGTGAACCAAATCAGACGAATGGTAATGAAGCATTAGAGGCAAACGACGATGAAGCAGTAGAGGAAACTCAGTTTAAGAAAAAGTTAAGAGAAGCTGAAACTCCATTGTACTCTGATTTTATCAAATACACAAAGGTTTCAGCAATTATGGGACTTTACAGATTCAAGGTTAAGAGTGGTGTGTCAGAGAACTACTTTGATCAGCTGTTGGATTTAATAAAGGACATACTACCTGAAGACAATGTACTTCCGAAGAGTTTAGCTACAATCAAAAAAATTCTGAAGATATTTGGTTTCGGATACCAAAGTATTCATGCTTGCAAGAATGATTGCATTCTATATAGGAAGGAGTTTGAGAAGTTAGATAGCTGTCCAAGATGCAAAGTTTCAAGATGGGAAAAGGATAAGCACAGTAATGAGATAAAGGTTGGGATTCCAACAAAGGTCCTTAGATATTTTCCAATCAAGGACAGATTTAGGAGGATGTTTAGATCAAACAAGATGGCTGAAGATTTGCGGTGGCACTATACCAATGGCACTGAAGATGGTACAATGTGACACCCGGTTGATTCTATATCTTGGGCACAAGTGAATGCTAAATGGCCAGACTTTTCTGCTGAACCAAGGAATCTTCGCCTTGGGATTTCTACAGATGGGATGAACCCTTTCTCCATGCAAAACACCAATCACAGCACATGGCCAGTGTTGTTGGTGAACTATAACACGCCTCCGACTATGTGTATGAAGGCTGAGAATATAATGTTGACTTTGTTGATCCCTGGTCCAACAGCTCCTGGTAATAACATAGATGTTTACTTGGCTCCACTGATAGACGATCTAAAAGATTTGTGGGCTGAGGGTATTGAAGTCTATGACTCATTTGCGAAGGAGAATTTCACACTTAGAGCCATGCTGCTTTGGAGTATCAGTGACTATCCAGCCTTAGGAACATTGTCTGGATGTAAAGTGAAGGGGAAACAAGCCTGCAATGTATGTGGAAAGGATACACCTTCCAGATGGCTTAAGTTTAGCCGTAAGTTTGTCTATATGGGGAACAGAAAGAGACTGCCGCCGGGCCATCGTTACAGATATAAAAAAGCTTGGTTTGACAACACTGTTGAGGAAGGGAATGCCAAAAGGATACAAACTGGCGATGAAATATATCAGACACTTCAAGCTTTTAGGAATGATTTTGGAAAACCTCTAGACAAGGAAAATAAAAGAAAAAGAGCTGAGTTGGAAGATGATGAGGTGGTTCAAGAAGAAGAGTGTGAAGAATCGAATGATCTATGGCGGTGGAAGAAGAGATCAATATTCTTTGAACTACCTTACTGGAAGGTAAAGTAAAGTAATTGAACTATATTCTCTTATTGTTGGATCTGAATAAGCCTAACAGTTTCTTCTTTAATGTGTTAGGATTTGCCTGTTCGTCACAATATTGATGTTATGCATGTAGAAAAAAATGTGTCGGATGCTATATTGTCTATCTTGATGCAAAGTGCTAAGTCAAAGGATGGTTTGAAAGCAAGAAAAGACTTAGAAGATATTGGAATCAGAAATCACTTGCACACAGAGGTCAGGGGAAAGAAAACATACTTACCTCAGCAGCCTATTGGTTATCCAAGAAAGAGAAGACCATTTTCTGCCAAAGGTTATCTAAGTTTAGAGGTCCTGATGGTTATTGTGGAAATATTGCGAATAGTGTTTCAGTTAACCCTCCAAATATAGGTAGTTTAAAGTCGCATGATCATCATGTCCTAGTCCAGAACTTGTTACCGGCTGCATTAAGAGGGTTGCTACATAAGGGTCCTAGGATTGCCATAAGTAGATTATGCAGTTACTTCAACAGGTTGTGTCAGCGCATCATCGACCCAGAGAAACTTATGACAATGGAGACAGAGTTTGTGGAAACAATGTGTCAACTGGAGCGCTTCTTCCCTCCATCCCTTTTTGATATCATGTTCCACCTTCCAATACATCTATCAAAAGAGGCACGTTTGGGAGGACCAGTCCACTTCCGCTGGATGTATCCCTTCGAAAGGTTTGATGTACTCATTTGCTTCAATATATGTATTTCCTGCAATTATGTTCAACTAATATTCATTTCTTGACTGAGTGATAGGTACATGAAAACACTTAAGGCTTTTGTTAAGAATCATGCAAGGCCAGAAGCATGTATGGCTGAGGGGTATTTAGCTGGAGAATGCGTTGCATTTTGTTTAGAGTTCCTTAAAGATTCAGTACCAGTTCAAGAAACAGTTAACCGCAATGAAGATATTGAGGCTGATAGAAGCGTGATTGAAGGTCGACCTCTGCAGAAGGGTATAGAAGTTACTCTATCAGATAAAGATAGAGACACTGCACATCGCTATGTGCTAATGAACATGGCATCTTTGAATCCTTATGTCGAGTAAGAGGTTACGCTTTATGTTTCATCTACTAATTATTATTATAATTTCATTCTCAAAATTGATGTGTTAATGTAAAATCAGGAAGCATTTGGAAGAATTACAAGCTAATGATGCTCGATGTGCTAAAAATGAAACTTTGTTGTGGAAAAACCATACTGAGCAGTTTGCACAATGGCTTAAAATAAAGGTTTCCAGATGCAACTTGTCTTCTTGATTATTTGTTATACAGCTTGTTAAATAGACTGATTAGCTTGTTAGCTTCGTGATGATATTTTGCTTGATGACTGGTTAGCTTATCTTGTAGCTTGATTACTGGTTTTCTTGGAACGGATTGTTAGCTTATCTTGTAGCTTGATGAATGGTTTTCTTGGCACAGATTGTTAGCTTCATATATGCTCATGTTTTGCTTAATGACTGGTTAGCTTAGCTTGTAGCTTGATGACTGGTTTTCCGCAATGAATTGTTAGCTAGCTTCATGATCATGTTTTGCTTAGTGACTGGTTAGCTTAGGTTGTATCTTGATGACTGGTCATTTTAGTACTTCAGCTTGATGATGAAGTTCTGATTTTACTGTGGCAGATTCATTCAGACTCAACAAATAGTCATTCTAAAGAGATAAGGTGGTTGGCATTTGGACCAAGAAATGTTGTTGTAGCACATAAAGGATTTATCGTTAATGGGCAACGGTTTCATACAGATGCGGTTAAGCGGAAGACACAAAACAGTGGAGTAACTTATGAAGCATTTAGCATGTGTAGATCAAGTGCTCGAGATATGAGACAAGTCACTGATATACTTACATATTATGGAGTGATAAAGGAGATTTTACTTATGGACTATCACATGTTCAAAGTGCCGCTGTTTAGATGCAATTGGGCCAACACAGGGAATGGTGTGAAGGAGGAAGATGGTTTCACTCTTGTCAACCTTCATATGAACCAAACAGCCTATTTGAAAGATCCATTCATTCTACCTTCTCAAGCAAAACAGGTTTTCTACTCTAGGGAAGATGATAATTCAAATTGGTATGTTGTTATGAGAGAACCACCTAGAGGCTATCATGAGTTGGAAACAGAAGAGAATTTAAGTGGTGCACCTTTGCCTATCCAAGAACTCGATGATTTGGATGATGAAGCTTGTGATAATGATAGTGTTTATGTTAGGGATGATTGTGAAGGCTTGTTAGTGGTAGATTGATAGGTGTTTGTGGTTTTTGTCAACAATAAAATTTGTTATGGTTTTCGAAACATTTGAATATTTATATATTTTGTATTAATTTAAATTTAAAAACAAAATAATAACACGAAACATTTGCTATCTTTGCTATCCGTAAATTCAAATTAATGAGTTTTAATAACATTTGGATAACGTTATTATAAATATTAACAATTGCACAGCAGACAACGCTATCGTTGTATAGTTATCTATAGCACACCAAAAATCCGCTATTAAAAGTGTCTGACCTACTATAACGGGCGATGTCAGAGTATTTTAGGAAACGCTATATTTTTGAACTCATAGCGTTTAACGGCCGCTATTAATACCCACATTTCCTGTAGTGATTCTCCTATTTTCAAGTGATAGTTCTTGAACACAAAATAGGAGACTTTGAAGTAGCATCTCCAAACATGATTGAAGTAGTAGGGCGCTGCAATGCTCCAGCAATGCCAATCTTTTCTGCCATTGTGAGTGAGATGAGGTTGATGCTTGCACCAGAATCCACCAAGGCATTGTCAAGCTCAATATGCCCAAGTGTGCAAGGGAGAGTGAACTTCCCTTGATCCTTCACCTTTGGTAAGAAAGTGGGTGAGGTAAGCAGGTTGATTTGGTGAGTAGACATCTCCAGAAGCTCAGAAACCTTTCCTTGTGAGCCATAACATCTTGAATCAACTTCATTTGCTCAAATGCCTCACTCATGCTTTCCATAGAAGGCAACTCAACTCCAATCTCACTTAGGTCTCTTCTGAACTTGTGAATCACTTCCTTATGGCTTTGACTGAGTAGGCGGCTGATGATGTGTCAACTGGCTGGTAAGGATCAAGCAAAATCGGCTTGAGATAGATGAGGTCTGACTCGATCGAGCTAGAGTTCGACTCGATCGAGCTGCCGATCGAGCTTGTTGTGCGAGCTCAACTGGTGAAGTGTGAAAGGCTACAGTAGGTGCTTGCACTTCAGGTTGATCAATCTGGACTCCAGGAGCCTCAGCAGCAACAATCTCGTCGTCATTCAGCAGCAAACAAAACTCTTCCATGACTCTCTCTTGATCCTCTTCTTCATCAAGACCTTCTTGAGTGAAGATGACCTTGCACTGTTCCTTGGGGTTCTGAATGCTTTACCAGGTAGTTGTCCTTGCTTTGTAGCAGCAGCAACAGAAGAAGCATGATTCTCCAGAGAGTACACTCTTGTGTTGAGATTCTCAATCTTGGAGTTGATTTCAGCTAGCTTCTTGCTTGTGTCCACAACACCATCAGCTTGCCCTTGAAGCAATTGTTTCAACATGCCTTGAGCTCATTCTCAGGTGTAGGTGCAGGCTGGGGTGGTTGGTGGGGAAAGCCAGGTGGTATGTGCATTTGCTGACCAGGAAAAGTCCCTTGGGGCCTTGGTAATTGTTCTTTAGGACCATACCCATGTTGTGGGGCTTGACTCGATCGAGCTTGCTGTTGTTGAGGGTAGACCTGGTCCTGAGGGTTAGCAACATCAGTGTTTCTGTATGACATGGCTGGGTTGGACTTGTAATTATAGTATCCTTTGTTGTAACCTCCTTGCCCATTGCTCATGTAACACTTCAGCAAATTGTGTATCCTCCCCTTCTTGGACTGGTTCCATCTCTTCAGCAGACACAAAATTGACTTCTTCATTGTGGACTGAGCTAAGATAAGCTTATCCAACTTCTCATTCAACGATTTGACATCTTTTCTCAATTTCTCATGACTCGATCGAGTGGTGGGTCGAGCTCCGGTTGGTGCGATCATACTCTTCTCCATAGCTTCCATTGGAGTTTGCAATGTTTTCCACAAGCTGCCAACCATCATCCACATCCTGATTAAGGAAGTTCCCATTGCTGGCTGTGTCCAACATCTCTCTATACCTTGCCAAGCATCCTCTATAAAGAGTAGAGAGCAGACTCATTGTTGAATCCATGATGTGGGCACTGACTTGTGTAGCCTTTGAACCTCTCCCAAGCCTCAGCAAAAGTCTCATTGTTCCTCTGTATGAAGCTGGATATCTCACTCCTTAGCTGTGCGACCGGTGGAGAAAAACTTAGCAAGAAAGGCCTTCTTGCATTCATCCCAAGTGGTGATTGTGCCATGGGGCAAGCTCTTCTCCCATTGGTGAGCCTTGTCAGCAAGAGACATAGGAAAGAGTCTCAGCTTGATGGCATCTTCAGAGACACCATTGATCTTTGTCAAATCACATAACCTATCAAACTCATCAAGGTGATCAATGGGGTCTTCACTTGGCAATCCATGGAACATCTTGTTCTGCACAAGGTTGATCATTCCCAGCTTGATCTCAAAGTTGTGGTTCTGCACAGGTGGTGGGACAATCCCTTGTCTCTGTTGATGGCGGTTTGGAGCATCTCCTAGACCAATCGGTCGAGTTGCCTAGCTCGACCGAGTCCATTGCCCAAAGGGTTTCCATTCCCCTCTGGTACATCCATTGTATCAGTAACAAGCACCTCAGGTTCCTCTTGTACCCTCTGACCTCTGACTTCTCTTTCTACCCGTGTGAAGTCTAGCTCGACCAAGTCTTCTGTAGACCGACTCGATCGAGTTCGCATACACCTGCAAAAAGAGACAAAAACCCAGCAGTACAAAGAACAGGGGTGGGATAGCTTGATCGTCCAAGTGTATTGGAAACTCAAATGCAACAATATTCAACCCAAATGGCAACGGCGCCAAATTGATGATAGGATTTGTGTGTGTGTGAAAGATATGATATGAAATGAAATGAGGTGGAATGCAACAGTGGTATATGAAGATGAGGTGGTAAGATGCAAACACAATCACAATCAACAATTCCCTTAACCATCATAGTCATTGAAGTATAAGGGTTATCAATCCAAAATGGGTGAAATTCTCTATGAGAATATGAAAACAAGGAAGTCAAGCAAGATAAAGAGGGTAACACTAACAACCTAATGAAATGAAATGCATGCAATAAAAGTAAAGAAAGCAGTAAGCAAGCAGCTCGACCAAGGACTCGAGTCGAGTGGGAACAGAGTAACCAGCTCGATCGAGTTAGGGTCGAGTTAAGTAAAAAGCGATAAAGGCAGACTTTAACAAGCTAATGCGAAATTAGGGTCTAAGACAGGGTTTACAATCAGGGAAGACTATACTTAATCAATCTTGCTCTTAAACAACTTGTATCAAGGTATCTCTTGATATTGAGCTTCTCAATGCCTAGCTAACCCTTTCCCAAGGTGAAAGCTATCAACCAAGGAATGATCTCAGAAACAGGGGGTTAGCCAGTGAGAATCAAGCCTTGGAGGCCATAGGATCATTGCTCAAACTAATCCATCCAACCCCTATGAACTCCATTTCGAGAGCAAGAGTTATTGGAGCTCTTAGTGGATCTTTTCCAGCGATTTCCATCACTTCCATGTGGAGAATCGCCTATGGACATACAAGCCAGGGGTAGTGGTCATGTAGCCTTAAGATTATCCAAAAGAGAGAGATTTCTAGATTAAGACATAAGCAAGAAGGATTAAGCATAAAGACCCTAATCTATCCCATCTCAAACCCTAATGGGAACTACTCACTACACATGAATGTAAACACAAGCAAATGCAATGAAATAGACATCAAATGAAAGAGGAGATGAAATAAACAACTTTTATTGAAATAAGCAAGTGCAAATACAAAGAGATAATCCAGATCTAGGATTCAAGAAGCAAGAGCTTCAAGAACACAAAGATGGGATTAGAGTTGCAAAAAGTAAAAGACAATAAATTAAAAGAAAGCTAAAACAAAATAAGCTAAAGCTTGTGTTTTTTCGTGGCTTAGAGCCTTTAAATACAAGAGGATTAGGTTTAGGGTCAAAGGGAAGTCAAGGGGGAAGCAACATTTTTCGGGTTTGACTGTTGACTTCTCAGCTCGATCGAGTTGAAGCTTGGCCGGTCGAGTTGAGGAACTCGACCGGTGGTCGAGTAGGTGGTCGAGCTGGTCTTCAAGATGGCTTCCTCCTTCTTCCTTTGCGTGTCCAGTTGAGCTGCGTCCATGCACCAAGTCCTTCCTTGCTCCTCACGTCCCATATGCTCCAAATGCTCCAAAAGACCTATTTCAAAGGACCAAACATGCATATGTATGCAAATGCAACCTAAAACTACTATGAATGCATAAGAAGAGAAAAGGAACAAGATATGATGCTAATGGATGCTAAAACTATGCAAAAGATGCATAAAAGATGTACTAAAACTATGTAAAATGCAAGTACATCAACATTGATGTGTTCATACTTTTCATGTTTTTAGCACTCGATTGTATATGTTTTTGCATCCATAACCGTTCATTTGCATTGCTTTTCACTCATCTTTCACTCATATTCCGCATTTAGTGCATTTAGGACTAGCACTGTTGCATCTTGTACATTTGTGTCAGTTTTAGGTGTTTCCTGGAGTGATGGAGCTGGAGTTACAGAATTGGAGTGACAGAGTAGACGTGGTCGCGCCGACGCTATCAAACATCAAGTGATCGAGTTGGACGAGGTTGAGTGCTGTGATCGAGCTCGAGGAGGTCACGCTGGAGTCAACTATGAACGCCGTAGCGCCGACGTCAAACCTGAGAGACAGAGTCAGAGTCAAGCGAGAGTGCCCATGTTCTGACGGGATCGATCCAGCCCATTAAGGGATCCAACCCAGTGCTTGTTTCGGCCAACTTTTCCCTTTTTATTTTATTTCCCGATTTTTCTAAAACACTAGGTTTCTCGAGTATCAAAACCAGAGAGAGGTGCACCTCCACAAACTATCTTTCATTTTTCATTCGAACAGTAGTTGTATTCAGATTTGTTTTTGGAGTTCTAAGTACTTTTGCATTCTCGATTCTATCTCTTTGTCGCTTTGATTATGCACTCTATCTCTTTTGATTCTGAAATGTGTATGATGAGTTCTAGCGAGTAGTTTCGTTTAAGTTTCTGAGGATGGGATAGATCTGTAGCGAACCTTAGCGTGATCGAGTTGCTTAAGAATTGTTTGTCGAATCGATCCCTTCTGGATTAGTGAGCTTCATCCCAGATCCTTTCTGATCACCTGGATCTGGATCTTAGACATTTCCACGCTCATGAGGCGTTCGATGAGATGTCTGAACCAGCTGATCCAGAGATTTACTGTTCTAGCCTAAGGGATTAGATGTCTAGAGAGTATTTCGAGTATATCGAATCCGAACTTAATGCTTGCTTGTGTTTCTTCGCTAATGATGATTAGGTCTTGAGAATTCACTAGTGTGTTGATCTCTTTCGTGAAAGCGAATTGATCTTGTCTGTCGAGTTCGTTGTTGAGGGATCTAGCCCGTGTTTGAGGTTTGTTTCAGCTCGATTGCATTCATATTGCACTCGATCTCTTTTGTTCACTGTCACCACCACCTGATAGATTTGGCTTGAATTGAGTAGTTTTGTCATATCTTGATTGATAGCATCTCACCTGATTGGATTGATACCTAAAGTACTACTGCGATAGATATACTGCTTTAGGATAATTGATAGTAAAATCCTATTATCAATTTGGCGCTGTTGCCGGGGATGCCGCAGAACCCGATTTTGGAAGTCGAAGTCTTCGACGTTTGGGGGATCGATTTCATGGGACCATTCGACCCATCATCTCATGGGAACCGCTACATTCTAGTCGCGGTCGATTACGTGTCCAAGTGGGTTGAAGCGATTGCGTGCCCCGCCAACGATCACAAACCAGTGCTCAAATTGTTCAAATCCGTTATCTTTCCTAGATACGGAATCCCGAGAGTTGTGATTAGCGATGGGGGGAGCCACTTCATCAACAAGATCTTTGCAAGTCTTCTGAAGAAGTATGGAGTGAAGCATAAGGTTGCAACGCCATATCACCCCCAGACATCGGGACAGGTCGAAGTGTCTAACAAACCGATCAAGGCGATCTTACACAAGGTTGTCAGCAGCTCGACCAGAGACTGGGCGATCAAGCTCGACGACTCACTCTGGGCGTATAGGACATCTTTCAAGACGCCTATTGGGAGGACACCATTTCAGTTGCTTACGGAAAGTCATGCCACCTCCCTGTTGAAGTGGAATACAGAGCCCTCTGGGCGACAAAGATGCTGAATTTTGATATCAAGACCGCCCAGGAGAAGAGAGAGCTCGATCTACATGAGCTCGAGGAGATCAGATTGGATGCCTACGAAAGCTCTAAGATCTACAAGGAGAGGACCAAGGCATTTCACGACAAAAATATCATCCGAAAGGACTTGAAGGAAGGCGATCGAGTGCTGTTGTTTAACTCTCGCCTGAAGCTGTTTCCTGGGAAACTGAAGTCGAGGTGGTCTGGACCCTTTACTGTCAAAGAGGTATCCCCTTTTGGAGCGGTCACTCTGTTCAACAAGGAAGAGGCCCCATTCACAGTTAACGGGCAAAGGGTTAAGCTCTATCTTCGAGACTACGCAATCCCAGAGGGGACATCGATTCCTCTCGCTGAGCCCCCAAGCCTAATGAATGAGGGAAGTCAAGCTTAGTGACTTAAAACAAGCTCGCTTGGGAGGAAATCCCATGTTTATCCTGTATATATATTTTGTTTCCTGTTATTTTTAATTTGTTTTCTAGTGTTTTTGGCTGACAGGTCACAGAACAGGGATCGAACAGGGAAGCTGGAAGGAACACAAGACGAGCTCGATCGAGTCACTCGACGACGAGGTCGAGCCCTGCCAAGGTAAGTATTTCTTATTAAAAAAAAAAAAAAAAAAAAAAAAAAAAAAAAAAGAAAAGAAAAAAAAAAACACGTTTTTCACCCTCTACCTACTTACCCACTCACACTCACACCATTAAACAACTCGACCATTCTCTCTCTTCTTCACCTCCCACTATCCACACGATTTCTGAAACCTTCCTCACCTCTCAAATCGATTTCACCCACACAATTTTTTTTAACTTCAATCGATCATCTCGTTGACTGCATTATATCTCTTTCAAATCGAATAAGCATGAGACGCGAATCAAGGTATGAACTCGAACCCTAACTCTTCGCGAATTCTGGGTAATTTTCTTGCGATTTTGCTGCGAATTTCTTGTGCTATAACCGTTGAACTCGGCCACATACACAACCCATGAATTGAATTCGTTTAATTTGGACTACTCATTAGGTCCTCACATTTGATCTTCATTACTATCGATTCGATTTACTAGGTTGTGTTCTTGAGTTGAGTTGATTGAATTGATTGAATTTGGGGGGAATCGAGCTGTAATGAATTGAATTGCCTGTTTGATATCTTGGGTTTTGCTGAAATCGGTTGTGTTGTCTCGTCTGCTTGTCAATTAAGCCGATCGAGTTGCGTATTAACTTGAATTTCGTTGAGCTCGATCAAGCCGTACAATGAATCGATCGAGTTCCTGAGCTGCTCTGACTTGTGTTATATCATTTGATTTTCAGGAACCGACGAAACAGCGACGAGTCCTCATGAAGGAGAGCAGAGATAACGCGAGGCAAGCGTCACGTCGAGTCCGAGGATGACTTTGAGTTGGACGAGGAAATGGAGGACATCGAGTCGCCAAGAAACTTGAGAGACGAGCAACCCGTCCATCCGCTGACCACAAACGAGATGGCGCTCATTCGTATCTTCCGCAAAATGAAATTCGAAGGCACGCGATACCCGGAGCCAAGAAGCGATAGGGAAGCTACGCATCACCGACGATGTGAACGCGATGTTCGACAACTGATGATAGGATTTAATAGGATGTTCACTTTATCTCACTCGATTTCTCACTGTGTCGGCTTGATTTCTCAGTCTCTCAACTCGATTTCTCACAATCTCCCTGGAATCTTTAATAGGTATGTTCTCATTCAATCATAGCTTGTTTGTTCGTTGGAATGGAAAACCTTTTTGATTTGGTGTTTCGATTCTTGGGCTGTGTGAACATTGATGCGGAAGTTTGTGATTTTGGGTATCGATTTTGATTTTGGGTTTTGATTCTTTATTTCAGTGAACATGCATGTCGAATTCTGGCACATTTCTTGTTTCAATTTTGATTTTCTGTTTCGATTATGATTTTTGGGTTTCGATTTTATGTTGACTGAAATTGTTCTTCATTTATCACTTTCAGAAATGGCGAAGACAAGAGGAGGAGGTCAAGTTGGTTCTCGTCGTAGTAGACGTAAGCAAGGCTTGGAGGTAGAAGAGATAACACCACAAGTTGCTCCAGCAACAACACTAAAGGTGAATAAGAAAAGAAAAGCAAAGAAAGTGGCTACGAGCAGTAGTACTAGAAACAAGAAAGTGGCTGCTCAAGATGATGAGGTAGAAGATATTACACCGCAAGATAATGTGGTTGAAGATGTAATACCGCAAGATGATGCTGTTGACAATGTAACACCATCATCCATGGAGGCTGATCAGACTGAGAAAGCAATGTCTGAAAATGAGAAAGAAGATTCTGAGATAGAAGGAGAAGCTTGTTTGACTGGACAAGAACAGAAGGAGGATGAAGAAGAAGCTCCGAATATTGACGAAGCTATTGAGATGGAAAAAGATGGTGTTGGCAATGGTCAAGATAATGCGATTCCTAGCAACACTGATGAAGGAAGTCAGGTACCGGAGGAAAGAGTAAAAGAAAGAAAAAAAAACGAGGACCAACAAAGATGCGTAAAGTGGCTGAAAATCCTAATGAAAAGGTTTCAGTTACTTTCAACGACTTTGGTGATCATGTTGGATCTGGTTCAATAACATTATCATCTTTTCTTGGTGTCCTTGTGAGGGAACACGTCCCGGTTACAATTTCTGATTGGAGAAAAGTTGATACAATGACTAAACAAGCAATGTGGGAAGAAATTCAGGTATATATTTATATGCAACTATTTTTTGTTGAACAGATATGAAGCATGTTTGACCTTTGCTTGTTGTACGTGATGCAGGGGAGGTTTAACTTGCAAGAAAAATGGCAGAGAGTTGTTATTTTCAAGCAAATGGGAAATATCTGGAGGGGTTGGAAGTCAAGGCTATTGTGAGACGTACGTGCTGCGAAGACTGTTGCTCAGAGAATAGATTTAAAACCCAGCAACATTCCATCCATTCAAGTGTGGAACTCTTGGGTTAGGAGCAAGACTAACGCAGCTTTCATGGTTAGTTATCTACAACTAAGTAACTTTCTTGTTTATATGTCATGTCTGATAGATTTAATCACATTGATATTTATAATGTAGGAAATAAGTGACAAGTACAGGAAGATGAGACAAAATCAGATTCCTCACACCACCAGCCGCAAAGGAATGCTTCGTTTAGCTGATGATATGGTAATAATAGTTGTCAAATATCTATATATGTATATATATATATTGTATATTTTGTTAGAATAAAATGGTACTGAGATATGTATGTACTTTGTATAGAAAAAAAAGAGTAAAGACCCAAGTAAGGTGACTAGGAGTAAGGTATGGATTGCGGGTCACACTCATGCTAATGGTAGACCTGTGAAGCCTCAATTTGCCGAGACTATTGTAAGAATTCTGGAACTTGTGATATTGTGTATAGTTACTGGATTAGGATCAATGAGTTTTCGTGTGTTTAAATGTTTGTATCAGGAACAAATACAATCACTTGATAGTGAAATGGACTCTACATCAGCTGTTGATAACATAAGGGAAGATGCTGTGAGCAAGATTTTGGGAAAAGACAAACCTGGACGAGTAAGGGGCTTTGGTAGAGGGATTACGGCTACTAAGTTAGCATTTTTGCAATCTAGAGACGCAGAGATGGCTGAAATGAAAAGTGAGATTGAAGAGTTAAAGGGCATTGTCCGAGACTTAGCTGGAAAGAAGGTAATCCATTTCATTACATTTGGTGAATTGGTTTGGTTTGAAGACAATTACGAATTCCTTTTCCTAATTTTAGACAAGTAATGGTGATTCTGGATTGGATTCAATCAGGAGATGTAGTTGTTGGTGAAGGGGAATTCCGTTATGCTGAACCGATGTACAAAATTGGTCGTATACCAATTGGTCCTAATGCAATGGCTGTCCTTGTTAAGTCTGCACTAAGCTCAGAAGCTTCTCTCTGGAGGCCTACAACAGATGTGTTATATCTTGAGGAAGCTGTGGGATGCAAAATACCTTGGCCAATGGACAAGGTGCTTTTGTATAAGGATCCAGTCGCTTCTGAAAATGTATCCATGGTAAAGTTTTTCAATCTTTCATTGATATTTCTTGTGGTGAAGTGATATATCTCTAATCTTTAGCTTCTTACATTTTAGCAAAACAAGGAAGGTGAGACTCGAAGATGCAAAATAAATGATTGGACTAATAAAGACGATGAGGTTATTGCTGAAGGTGTTGTGTGCTCATCTAACTCCAAAGAGAAGGTTAACAATATACCTCTAGGTCCAAGTGCTGTTTGTAGAGATTGCCGCAATTTATGCCATCAGTCGGTAGAGGAAATTGTTGAGCATCTAGTGATAAGGGGTATGGATAAGAAGTATAAGACTTCTTGTTGGAGTATTCATGGTGAAAAAAGAGCATCTACAGAAGACAGTGGTCGTCGACATGAAACAGAGGCATTTGACTTGTTTAAGACAGCATTCTCTATGAATGAAGGTGAACCAAATCAGACGAATGGTGATGAAGCATTAGAGGCAAACGACGATGAAGCAGTAGAGGAAACTCAGTTTAGGAAAAAGTTAAGAGAAGCTGAAACTCCATTGTACTCTGATTGTATCAAATACACAAAGGTTTCAGCAATTATGGGACTTTACAGATTCAAGGTTAAGAGTGGTGTGTCAGAGAACTACTTTGATCAGCTGTTGGATTTAATAAAGGACATGCTACCTGAAGACAATGTACTTCCGAAGAGTTTAGCTGCAATCAAAAAATTTCTGAAGATATTTGGTTTCGGATACAAAGTATTCATGCTTGCAAGAATGATTGCATTCTATATAGGAAGGAGTTTGAGAAGTTAGATAGCTGTCCAAGATGCAAAGTTTCAAGATGGGAAAAGGATAAGCACAGTAATGAGATAAAGGTTGGGATTCCAACAAAGGTCCTTAGATATTTTCCAATCAAGGACAGATTTAGGAGGATGTTTAGATCAAACAAGATGGCTGAAGATTTGCGGTGGCACTATACCAATGGCACTGAAGATGGTACAATGCGACACCCGGTTGATTCTATATCTTGGGCACAAGTGAATGCTAAATGGCCAGACTTTTCTGCTGAACCAAGGAATCTTCGCCTTGGGATTTCTACAGATGGGATGAACCCTTTCTCCATGCAAAACACCAATCACAGCACATGGCCAGTGTTGTTGGTGAACTATAACACGCCTCCGACTATGTGTATGAAGGCTGAGAATATAATGTTGACTTTGTAGATCCCTGGTCCAACAGCTCCTGGTAATAACATAGATGTTTACTTGGCTCCACTGATAGACGATCTAAAAGATTTGTGGGCTGAGGGTATTGAAGTCTATGACTCATTTGCGAAGGAGAATTTCACACTTAGAGCCATGCTGCTTTGGAGTATCAGTGACTATCCAGCCTTAGGAACATTGTCTGGATGTAAAGTGAAGGGGAAACAAGCCTGCAATGTATGTGGAAAGGATACACCTTCCAGATGGCTTAA